GAAAATTTCAGTTTGAAACTTTACGTGCTAAATAGGGCAAACTATCCATGTTTAGTGGTTGAATTTGTAATTTAACTTAACCTTAAGTTTACAAACAAAAAATATTAATAATAAGAAATTTAACCTAATATATGTAACTAATAAAATAGTTGGTAAAAAAAATTAAGCTTGAAATCTCATTTTAGCCTAACTTTCAGAATTATTTTGGGTTGGGCACTAGATTTTCAAAATGTTCTTTTTTTAAGGTTTATTTGCCTTTTTCATACCACTTTCAAAATATCTATTTTAGTTTTTCAAATTTCATATTTATTCTATTTTTATTCTAGAAGCTTAAAGTTACTATCAAAATGTGTTTTTTAATCCAAAATTTTGAAAAATAAAAAATATTACCCTTATCGTTATTTCACTTCTAAAAAATAGATGTCGAATGAGAATTAACTATGGTTGGATTGACATTAACAAATATGGAAGTCACATATTTTATGGTGAGGAAATAATAAAAATGACCCAAATTGCTATTTTTGTTTAAATTCAAAAACTAAAATAAACATCTTAAAACTTCAACGATAAATAATAATAATAAAAAAAAAGATGAAAAGTAATTCTAATTACATTATATACACAAAATCAAAATGGTGTTTGATTTGAATTTCATAATAACTTTTTTGAATATCCTGCGGGCCCCTGACTCCTTAGAATTCGGCGCCGGAAAACATTCCCTCTTTAAATTGAAAAGCCCGCAGCGGCAGGCAGTAGTATCCGCTACTAATTCCTGTTCTTGCCAAATTTTCCCACTCTCTAATTGTGACTGTAACTGTAACTGTAACTGTAAGTAGCCAAGAAAATGAGTAACATTCCCCAAGAAATCGACGATTACATCAAAGAATCAATCTACCATTCTCTCGGCCTTCCCGTCTCCAAACACACACTGGAATTGAAACTCGTCGCCTCCGAAGCCGCACAGCAACACCTTCGCGTTCAATGCCTCTCCTTGCAATCTAAATTAAACCACCAAATCCTCGCAGCCCAAAGTTCCAAGGTTTTTAATCTTTTCTTTTCAATTTCTTGACACCATTAATTGGCATTGCCAATAATAATGTCGTTTTTTAGGCGGAGGCCAAGTTGAGTGCGCAGGCGTTGAAGAAGGCAATTGAGAAAAACGGAGACCTCTCAGAGGAGAATTCGGCTCTGACTCTGCAATGCAAGAAACTGAAAGCCTTTGCCAACAAATTGAAGATGGCCGTCGATCGCGCCAACGAAGAAACGGCTCGTGTGCGTGAATTGGAACAGGAGATGAACGAATTAACGGACGATTTGTATTTCTTCCAGAATCAATACCAAACGCGAAAGGTAAAAATCAATCAACCAAATTGTTCTCCAATTTCGGCCTCCGTAATGTGTGTGATTTCTTGCAGTTTCATTCATCTTCCATGGAGGAGGATTTGGTTGACTCTGTTTTGGCCGCTTTTATTGGGGAAACAGAGGCTCCTGCTGCAGAGTTCTTGTTACACAACGCAGGCTACAGTTCGTGTCGAAGATTGCTCTACTTGTCCAACAGGTAATTACAAACTAAAAATCGCTACTCTTTTCGGATTTAATTATTAATTCTTGATCTTCTTTCTCAAGCCCTTGCGATGGAATTGAAAATCAAGATTAATCATTTACTGTAGCTTAAGCCCTGCAACTCAGAAAGCTCTGTCTCTGGCTGCTAAAATTAAGGAACTTGAGAAAAACAAGGAAGAACTCCAGCTCCTCCTCCGTACAGCTCAAGAAGAGGTCAGATTTCTTTCAGCACAATCTTGTCAACCAAAAGAAATTTATAAACATTAAAAAAGATCATTAATTAACTCTACTCTTTATAATCAATAAATGTTCAAAAACGGACTCATAATGATATATGAAATAATAATATTTTTAACTGGCGATTGGAAATTCTCACGAGACCTAATAAGTGTAGTGTAAATGAATATAAATTGAGAGGAAATGAAGAATACAATACAGAACCTACTCCTCTAATGTCATATCAAACACCATTAATCAACCCAAAAATTTAAAATTTAATTCAATTTACATATAAACTTCTGAACAATAGTATTTATCTTTCTTTTTTCTTAATTTTTTAAAGGTAAAATTCTTAAACGAACAAATCGATTATCTGATGGAAGATCAAACGTCGACGTCCCATGAAGAAGGAAGCCAACGACGTTGTGGAGGGAAACCACCAGCCAGTAGTGACTATGCCTCTGTGAAGGTTAAGAAAAATAAATACACAAACACAACTATTGACTTCTCTAAGCATTTTCTAATTATTGTCTTGTTTTCTATTATTCTTCTTTTTTATTTATATGCTTAAATTATTTCTGTATATTATTACTTCCAAGTCGGACTGAAATTTTAGAACCATCAAATTATATTATTATATGTCATTGGTCTTTGGCTTTTGCAGTTACATGGCGGAGAACAGTCTGACTCGGACGATTGATTGCGCCTTCGATCCAACAAAACATCGTCCCTCCAGGGTTCTCTTCTCATAATGATTTAATGATATATTTTTTTGGGTTCAACTGTAAATATAATAAGTACGTGTTTATGCTTTTTTTGTTTTCGATTTGGTTCGTATTGTTTTTAAATTTTCAATTTTAAAACTTCAAGTTTTAACTTCTTTTCATTAGATATATTCTTGTAATTCATCGAGGTTATCAATGACAATAATATGCATATTGTTGAATGTTGCATGTGTGGTACTCCTAGCAAATCATATAAATTTGATTGAGATCAAAGAGACTTACCTATAAATTCATAGCATTGAGATTGAATCGCCTCATATATTCTATGGCTAATTTACTTGTGATTTAAATAGTTAGGCATCTATATTATACCCCTCTAAATAATAGTTAGATATATATATATTTATGATGAGCAATATTAGAACACTATTCACCCCAGCAACCTTTTTGTTACTTTTTGAAAGAATTAATAAGAAGCTCGACAATGGGGGATTCTTCTCGTCTCGAGCTCAAAATGCAAGCACAAATCAATGTACGCATAAAATCACGTTGTTCTGAAGTCTTAAGCTACAACGTTTTTTACGTTGTCGAAAAATTATTCAATGTAGTTGTTACAGTACGTTTGTCACTCTCGTAACTATTATATATTTTCATATATCTAATAATATCAAATCATCCATCTTGGGAGACAAATGGACAAATGATATTATATAATCTGTCAAAGCTTGGGAGGGGAAGGGGAAGTTGGTGGCGTGGGATCGAGGAGGGAAGCCCAAATAATGAAACCCACTTTGGTTGAACTAATCCCAGATTTTAAGTAGCTAACACAAGAGAGATTCTTTTTGGTGCAAAGTTGTTGGTGCGTTAGGAATTTGGTGGTGTGGTGAGACCCACCTACTTCATTACCAACTCCCAAATGGCTTTCTGCAGGGACACGAGCCCATTATATTTCCTCTTTGGAACTTAATTTACAGTAATTGTAATTCCACTACTATTCATCATGATATGACCTTAAATTGTTTATGTAATTTCTAATTATAGCTAGAGACAGCGCAGCCGTGTGCCATGCCCAACTTCAAAAGTGAGAGGGTGCCTTTGCCTTTTGTCCCCCCACAAAACCAAAAAAAATGATTGCATAATTGTATAGTGTATATACTGGTTATTGTGTACCAAATAGTTTCAAATGTTGTTTTTTGAAGTGAGCCTTTTGAAGAATACTTTCCAAAATCAAACACTAGTATACATGATTGAAGAACCTAACTGGACCAAGCTTCACCCACTCCAATTCCTACTACTTCCACTTGTATTTATAAATAACCTCCCTCCCTTTCCCCTTATTAATTCAACTTCAAACCCACCAAAAACCCTCTTTTCTCTTCCAGCTCTGAAACAAATACAATATGGCAGCATTTTTGGGTTTAGTAATCTTTCTCATTTCTTTGGCTGTGCCAAGCTTTGCCACAGTCTACACCATCGGCGAYGCTGCCGGTTGGGCCTCCGGTGTCGATTACACCTCTTGGACTTCCGGGAAGACATTCACTGTTGGAGACAGCCTCAGTAAGTCAATTAGTTCGATATCATGTCTTAGGAATCCACTTAAAAGAAAGGAAAGAGATAATTGCCTCTTGTCGTGTTTATTTCTCTCTCTCAAAATTTAATAATAGACCGTAATAATTTTTTCATGCCCAATGAGTAGGAAATGATTGTTCTTCAAAATTGGAATTTGTGCTAATTTTTTATGATAAAAAAATGGAAAATATTTAAGTTTTACCACCGTTGAAAAATTGATTACTCCTCTTTTTAAAACATTCTTTACTTTTTTGTATTCCTCCCTTAGTCATCAAATGCTCCGTAGTGGTCAAGACCAGGACCTAAATATTTTCCTAAAAAGATTATACATAAATAAACAATATGAATAATGTGTAAAGTTTTAGTACTCAATTTTTGGCGGGTATGTCCTGAAATATATAGATATATATATATATATATATATATATGCAGTTGATGTGTGATCCAGGTGTGTTTTTGATGTGGCAGAGTTCAATTATGGAGGTGGGCACACGGTGGACGAGGTGAGTGCGAGTGACTATAACTCCTGCACCGCCGGCAATTCCATTAGCAGCGACAGCACTGGCTCCACCACCATCGCTCTCAACAAGCCAGGCACTCATTACTTCATTTGCGGTGCATTTGGCCACTGTGGGAACGGCATGAAATTGGCTGTGCCTGTCACGGCTGCCGACGCCGGAGCAACGCCATCAGCAACCCCAGCCCCAACCGGAGATGGAAATGGAGATGGGGCTCCGCCGTCAACAGCACCAACTCCTCTTGAAGGCGGTGGTGCTCCCACAACGCCATCCAAAGACACCGGCTCACCCTCAGTGATCAACTCTCCGACGTCCAAGGTTCCGGTGGAGGCGTCTTCGGCGAGTGGTATCTCGGCGTTTGCGGCGGTGGTAAGCGCTTGGGCCGCCGCCTTGTTGATTTGACTGTGTTCTAGGATGTCCACTCCATGTACGTGGCCCCTGGCCAGGATGGAGGCAGTGCCAGCTTTTGTGAAAATTTTACTTCTTTGTTTTGTTTGTGTCCTTTATGGACGTTGTATTTATTTTCCTAAATTACAAATTTCTCTCTTTAATTTCAAAACTCTTAATATAGACACCTGGATAGTATAAATTGAAATATTCTGAAAATATTGTTAAATATAATACAGTTGATATGATACATAAAAATTAGGTTTGGGCGGTGTTGGCTTTTAGGAACTCCATCAATTTCAGTCGCCCATGGTGTGATCTTGAGTTAGAACCCTATGTTATGCACCGTCTTGAGTTCGACTTGGGAGATCAAGTTCACAATCTCTAAGTTGAAAACAACAACCATCTTCAATTTTTTTTTAGCAAAACGGCTACCCACTAGGATGATCACCCGTTGGAGTTTAAGATTGAAGTCTTTTAACCAACAACCATCTTAAATTTTTTTTTATAGGCGTGGAATTCCACCCTTCAACAAACCTTTGCTTTCATTTCAATGGTTGTTTTAGTGATATCATATTCTTCCTCTCCAATCTGCAATGAAGTTTTAAATCCGTTGCTTTCCCTCCTCCACCTATTTGAAGAATTGGACGCCATTAGCAATTTAGGAACCTCGAAAATTTCCTCACCGTGACCTAAATTAGAATATAGGCTTTGACAATAATACATTTATAATTAAAATGAATATGAGAATATCCGACCACAAATTTTGAAGCTGCCAATTTGGACAAAGCTTTTAGGATATGTCCTGTGACTTGTATCATTGGTACTTGACGCAATTGGCTACTTAATTTTTGTAATTATGTGCAACGTTTATTTACATGTATATATGGATGCATCTCCTGAAATTTGAAAATGTGTCTTTGGTTTGAAGCTGTTTTGATAGGTTCCATTCAAATTACAAAAGGGGGTTTGAAATTGCAATTGTTAAAGCTAATATTCATTTTTCCCCTTTTTCTTATTTTCAGTGAAATATGGGGATTTTGCAAATCTTTAATTATTAGAATAACTTAGAGGTTGTTACAAACTTCACGCATAAACAAATTGATTCGGAATGATCAATAGAAAGTAAAAAAACAAAATTCAAGCCATATGTTAAATAAGAACAAGTTTTTATGTGGGATTAAAAATTGAGAACAGGTTGGAAGGAATCAGATCAGATCCATAGAATTTGAATGGAGGACTGGACTTGCTTCTCCGCGTGTCACAGATTTGCAGACCAAAACTAGTACTCCCATCTGAATCTTTTCTGTCACCCACCTTTTTTTTTTAATATTAATTATATTCTTCTTCCCGCCACCCCTCCTTTTTTATTTTATCTTTTTTCGCCAGCTTTGATCCTAAGCCTAAACAAGTGTTAAATGACAACATACCCGTTTCAAATATCTCCACGATAATACAATATCGTCAACTTTTGACATAAAACTCTCATGGCTTTACGATTAGCTTTACCAAAAAGATTTCAAATTAATTGAGATAATTATCCTCACCTATGTTAATAGGAGAGATTTTGTTGGCACTTCTTGTACTCTTAACACCAATACCCACTTGATAATCTAAATGAAATACTCCTTAAAAATATATATGAGCTAGTATAGTAAATGATTGAGCCTTGATGGTGAGATGTCACACTGCAATATTCTTTTATTAATTTTGACTAGTGTTGATTGTTGTTCTCTTAATTTTGCTATTATTATGATTATGAGAATTTAGATTAATTAAGTACCTTTCAAACTATTGATCTTTTTATGGCACCACACGCAAATGCTGCAGCAGAACAGCATATTCTCCTTTTTGGCACAAAGAAAAGTGTAGCGTACAATGAAAAACATATGAAAGTATTTGTCTCTATTGGGTTGTATGTATCCAAAACAACTGTTCAACCAATAACACAGTCCAGCTGGACACATATTATGTGTAAAAACACGTGTTAAAGCACCAATAGAACACGTGTGAGAGCATATATCATCAACTTCTCAACCGCTTTCTTGCCTTGGACATAACCTTAGCTACTTTGGTTTTCAAATTATCACATGACCCTTCACCTTATTACATAGATTAAGATATATATAAAATCATATTGTATATGATTCAGTTAACTGATTCTCACATTATTAACTATTATTATATTATATATGCAAATCAATGTATGTTATCCCTTTAAACAATAGGATTATTCTCTTGTCGCAATCCAAAGATTTTAATGAATAATTATACTCCAAATTACGTACTTTTATAAGTTAAAATTCACCGGTGTTGCAAATTTATTTTAGGATCCGCCTAAACTAGCATATATACCACTAAGTCGGCTTTTTGAACTTGATCATCTTCTTATCTAGAAATGATGGTTTTCATTTTTTATTTATCATTTTTAATAAATAGAAACATAATTGCATTTGATAATTGTTTATTTTATTAAAAAAAATAACAAATCATTTCTTATTTTTCAATCACTAAAAATTTGAAATAATGGTTTAAATTACATGTTCAATTTAAAAATAAAAACTTCGATTTTGCCCTTTAAAAAGCGTGTTTCTTAAAAATTAGAAATGAGAAACAATAATAATTATCCAAAACTTGCGTTGTTCAAAAATTGAAAACTTTTCTTCTGCGGACATGTAATAGTAAAAGAAAAAATGCCAAAATTGAAAATGGGTAACAAGGACGACAGATCATAGAAGATCTTGTATTGCCAAATGCCAAATGGCAAGGACTCAAGGACAGGCCCTCCACAACCCCATGTCTTAGAAATCTGAGCATTGACATCTCAACCAAAGAATATAATATATGGTGATCTTCTTAATTTGATATCTTTTTTACTCCCAATTCTTAAAATATTAACCCAACCGACATTTCCATTTAATTAAAGTTTATATTCAGTGTACGACATCGTTTGGCTGTGTAACGTTATCTTCCATATTTTCCGTTAGCGACATTATTAAATCCTCACGCCGCCCAACCAAACAAGAGAGAGAAGAAAATAACAAAAGCTGTTGCTGTTGCATTTATTTTCTACATTAATAAAATAGAACATCAATCTCCAGCTCCGGGCCCACCACCGGTCGGGCCGAACCGGATGAATTGAATTCCCAATAGCGGAAGTTAGCCCCCACCAAAACCCTCTGGTCGAATCACAGCTGTTCATATTTTGGTGTTTAATTTAGGCAACTTGTGTACACAAGCCGTCAAAACTCCCATTTTCAGAAAAGCCGAAGAAATTGCCCACGAAAGATCCCGGAAGTGCACCCACTTTCCACTTTTTTCTTTCTTTAAAAAAAAGTCTCCTTCTTTACGTATATCTATATATATATTATCATCTCACTCGCCAACAGCGAAAAAGAGAGAGCAGCAGCAGCAGCAGAATTGATAATTTTAAAATGATCCAACAACAGCAATGGCCAAGAATTTGAGGAAACTAAAGGACCATGCGGCGGCGGCAATGGCAAGGGCAAGGAAATCCAGCATCGGCGGCGGTGGTCGGTGCCGGAAGCACCCAAAACACCAGCAGTCGCCAGGAGTGTGCTCGCTATGTCTGAGAGAAAAGCTGTCTCAATTGTTGAATACAGACTATCATGGCTCCACTGCGCCTAAAATAGCATGTTCAGGCTCCTCTTCTTCGTTGTCTTCTGTATCGTCTTGTTATTCTTCAGCATCGTCGGCTTCTTCGTGCTCTTCTCCACCTACCATAATTAGAAGAAAGAGGTCGATTTCGGGCATGTCCAGCTTGTTCAAGAGAAGATCAAGTGCTAATAATTTGTTGAGTAGCAGTAGATCTCTGGCTGATGGGTTGTGGTCCAAGTTGGTGGTGAATCGGAGAGGGAAGGAACAAACTTTGAGGCGTTCGGCTTCTACTACAACAGATCATCATCATCATCACATAGTTGCTACCTAGCCACCTACTCAACAATATTACAATAATTAATTGTTATTTTATTGCTTAATTTTCTGATATATATAGATCCATCTAGCTTAGCTAATAACTTTTTTTAATTATGAGAGGAAGGGTGAAACCAGACAATGATCAAATGCCTAATTAAGCCAAAACAAGATATTTATGTTTCTTCCATTATCTTTGCTTTGAGAACCAAAAACTTCCAAACAAAAACAGGTCCCATTATATATTCTTTTGGTTTGTTGAATTTTTTCATTTTTTTATGTGTTAATTAGAGAGTTGTTTTTTTTTCTTTTTAGTTCCATAAAGGGGATTCCGACCTGAGATTTTTTAATGTTTTCAGAATTCCAAAGAGTAGAAATTTTAAAAACAACACTGAATCCAGAATCGATCTGAAATGAAAACAATAAACAGAATTCATATTCCATTCCATTCTTACTACTAAAAAAGTATTTATGATTTAATTTAAAGGTCATGATTTCACCAAGCTCTTTCTGTTTTGCTTTTACAAATATATATATATATATATATATATATATATATATATATGGCATTAACATTTTATTGTACCGTTACCTATAATTAGAACCAAACTTTGGCTGAAAACACATGTTGAGCTTGATTGTTTAATTATTGTTATTTGGTTTTTTTCCACTTTCATTTTACTTTAATCTATATACGTTCAAATATTTTGTCTTTTGGGTCATAAAATATGTAGTTTTGTAAAAAGCTTCCCTAAGTTCATGTAGTTGCAGTTGTAGTTGTGTAATGAATTTGTAATAAGATTCATAGACATGGAAGATATAACATGTATAACAGAAATCCTAGTAGATTTTATGAAAATTGAGGAAAAACGTAAATAGTTCACAATCTTAAAAGAAGAAATATAGAATTCCAGAGAACTTAAAGATTTTATTATTTATTAGATAGGTTACATATCTCTACAATTATATGATATTATCTACTTTGAGCATAGCGGGTTTTGTTTTTTTGTTTCACCCAAAATGTCTCATATCAATGGAGATAATTGTCTTGTCTTATATATCACAATCACTTCTTAGTCTAGTCAACGTGAGACTTTGTTTGCATTTTTCTTACAGACCCAACAAGGTATAGTTTTTTGCTTGAAGTAGAAATATTATGGGATCTAGTTTAATTTATTGCATAAAAAAATTATACGATATCTACATTTAATTTCTTCCTAACTATGTTTATCCAATTTCCTTAATTTATTTAAAGAGAATGAAAATACTAAGAAAAACACAATTTAATTTTAATTATATTTCTCTTGGATTGATTGTCAACAAATCTTTAAAAATATTTTCGAAAAGATTAATCAGAGAGTGAAATCAAATCCAAATTAAAATTGTTCATCCAATTAGTGGAGACCGTGAATCCAAGTTCTTGGAAACTTCACTCGACAGTTTTTCCATATACTTTTAGAAAGGGGTTTTTACCTAATCTTTACACACATGAAATTTTTCCTAAATATCCCTACAATATAAGAATACTCAATTAGAAAAGTACCCAACCAATTAATTACATAAAATTCAATTAATAAAACAATCAAARTCAAGTCATATAAACGTCTAAACTTAATAATAATATAAAAACCTAAACTCGATTAAAATTAAACTCCTACTAAAAGATCAGCACTCAACTAACACCAAAATAAAACCCTAAAAGTTTGTTAATTATTTAAATGTTGGAAAAAGTTCATTTAATTATATTTAAAAAAAAAAGGAGAGAAAAAATGTCAGCATACCAATACCACCGCTACAATCTCCTTGATTCACTCAGTAAGTACAGTGTACAGTCTGCCCTGAGAATTTATTTCTAAAAATAAAAAGAGAGGAAATATATAATATTAATATTATTTGGTTGGGAAATGGCTGTTTAGCTGGATTGTCGCTGTCCTTGCACTGGAATTTATCCACAGTTATACTTATCGTACACTTCCCACTGTTTTCGTTTGTCCTCCAAATTCAATTTCCTCGGAATTCCAATTTTATAATCTCTCCCTCTCCCTCACAGCCTTGCTCCAGCTAAGCTATACACTCCCCTTCTTTTCCATCTCCTCCATTAATACCTCTCCCCCAAAACTTTTATAATCCTCTACGAAATCGAAATCGATGATTGGATCTCTTACTCTTGTTTTAATAATTTCGGGTCGAAATGTATGGATCATAATATGTGTTGAATTTGATGCGACGTCCTACCACGTAGAGGACGAAGATTCTACATACTAGTAGATCTACCCCTAATGATCRTCTTTCTACATGAACAATCTTGAACACTTAACTAGATGCATGGATAGGAAGATTTGAAATTGGGTGAAGGTCTACCTACCTTGATCATGCACGCACGATAGACCAACCTTCGACTCRCATGCTCAACTGTATGTCGGATACCCTAACTTATAAATAGGACACTTCACTCTTCAGTCAGATATCGTTCGATCGCTCTTTTAAGATCGAACTATAACTGACTTGAGCGTTAGAATGTTGTAGGTCTTTCATTTCCAAGAGGCTTTTCAACTCATTTCGAACATCCAAATTCTCTAGGTTAGCATATTTTGACTAAGTCTACTTGACTAATATTTACTGTACAGAACTGGGTTCAGCCTAACATATCTCATGTTTCGACTCAGCATGACTGCCCATGATTCAAGATGTAGTTGGTGAAAATAAAATGCATCACTAATCTTCATGTAATATAATGAATTTTAATGCGATGTTTATGGTTAAGGAATTGYACGATTGGGCCTGATGGGCTAGAAACATGTTCAGTTTCTTCTCTGTGCGGACTGTACTAGAAGCCCAGGCCCAGTTGGATTCTGGGCCWAAAAACAGTATGCGGTCGATCGGACTGGGCCAATATCATATTAGAGATTGAAATACATATAAAAAGGCAAAAGGAAAGTTATGAGGTTATGGTGAACAAAATAAGAATGGTCACTTAAAACATAAAAGCACTTGGTTTTCTAATTGAGCAATTTTTGAAATTGAAAACAGATTCCAGATTAGAAGCCGATGTTTCTTTCTGGTCCACTCGTTTGGTTCTGATGTAAGTGGGGCGTAGTCCAATTTGGTTTCAATTTCAATCTGGTGTGTACTTAACAACTAACTCTCTAAGTGATAAATTCTAACAAAAAACAATCTGGCACTGCCCTACACTCATGCCATAATATATTGGGTGCTCACAAATGCACGATATTCATTAAGATTTTTGACACACGATTTGATGCATCAACCAATTAATTATGTAATTGCAATCGTATATTTGCATAATCATTACTAAATGCCCAAAAAGAAAACAAGTATCACTAATCTGATTGATTGAGCCCTCCGTGGTAGCATGTCAAGTCGGTTTGTCAAAGGACCAATCTCAATTGGTTGGTATAGATTTTGGATAGAATTGAACTTATTTTAGAAATTTAAATCAAACCAATAATTTAGTCTAATTTCAACCCAAAATCAACTATTTTAATAATAGTGGAATAAAAAAATTTGAAGTTATATTCTAATTTTGGCTCCATCTTGATAGAGTGAACGACCTCACATAAGTCAATTTGACATTCTCATTTAATAAAAATTTAATATTTTCATTACGCTTTATCTATGTACTCGGTGGCATTTTCACTAATTTTTTCAATTATTATCGTAAGCAAACTAGGTCACGTTTTTACTCAGCTAGAAATCATTCAAATGGGCATATGGAAGTTGTAAACTAGTTTTCGACTTTCATTTAATTTCTCCGTAACGTAAACAAAGCCAAGAAATTTTGGTACGTTATTTTTATTTTTGGGTGTTTTTTAATGTGCATGTGGCTTGTTCTTTACTTGATGGGCACTGTTGGCCGTCAATGGAGGAGTGTCCGACAAATACGGCCCCACAAGTCTTCATGATGATCACCAATAGAGCAGCGATATTACGCCACGTACACAGCTTACACTTTTTTTTTTTACTTCATGATTTGATTTGTCTTTTTTTAATATGCGTTTCCTCATTCATGACCCATTTTTTCAAATTATCTAGAGTCCAATGTTGGAATTTGTAGCTTGTCGAACCAACCGGATCACGCCACGTATCCAGACCGAGATCTGATGCTTTGCCTGTGAAACACGTATAAAGAAAAAGAACATTGGGCTTTTTAATAAAGAGAAATTCTGTGTTGAAAGTCAAGAAAACGAATGGGAAAAATATATTAAATAAGGAAGAGAAAGATCGGGCTGTAAAATATGTTCTAATCACGTGATTTGGCCTTTAATTAAAAAAGGGGCTATTGAAAGTAAAGCATTTTCAATACTAAAAGCAATGCTTTACTTTCTCTTTTATGGTATTAGTTGATGTCTATTGGTTAACGYCTGTGATTAAATTAATCCTTTGACATTGAMAATTTAGTTCTTCTTTTCCCAGTTTCCCCTCCTCTTTTTTTTGTTTTACTAATGTCGAATTTTATAACCATATAAGCAATTGTATTAAATAAATAAATAAATCTTACCATATAATTAATGRATCAAATTATAAGTTTGTTCATAAAATTTAAAAAGTATTTCCTAATTCTTTAAACAAAATTTTTATATTAAATAGGTTTTTTACTCATTTTTATTTATTTTTATAAATAAAAACTAAATAGACACAAAACTTGAATGGATAAAAACTTATTAAACATTTTTCTAAAATTGGTTTATTATACCCCGCCCTATAAATTTAGTAATTTATTAAACGACTTAAAAAAATTCTTTTTAGAATATTAAATAATAAAGATGGGAGGAAGATTTAAATATATTACCCTTAGAGAATTAGGAGTTAACAAAGATATGACTTAGCTACTAAAAGAGATGTTCGTGTTTACAAGCGATACCGAATACGATGAGAGAAGTGTTAAGAATCCAACATTGAAAATACAAAGGATATAACAAAGGTTTATAATATACATTGCTTATATACTTTTCTCATTGTYAATTGCTTGAGATAGAAATCCATGTTTATATTGTATTAGTGCTCAATCAAGTTCAAACGATCATCCGGTTAAAAAAAAATCTGGACMAAAATTATTGATGAGTCAAAACTACCATCTTGAAGGAACGTTAAGGATCATACATTGAAAATATAAGAATCTAACAAAAATTTGTACGCACATTCTCTTGAGGTGTTTGGCACACGTATTTGTGAAACCCGGAGTTAGGTGGAGTAGACTT